CCCCAAAACCCCAAAACCCCAAAACCCCTTCTCAAAAATCAAAATGGATAAGTAAAAAAACTAAGATTAAATTCCAATTATATTAGGTAAGTCATTTTTCAAAAGCTAAGAATATAGTAGTCAATCTTTTCCTTTCAAATGCCTATTGTCATTTTCAACAATAACCTATGGTATCACTTTCAAAATTGTGCCCTTGCTAGTCTTTTTAAGTTCCTGCTTAAACTTTATCACATAAATTGCAGTGTTCTTCGCATTATTGTTAAAAATTGGGGATTTTGATTGCATCACCCTCACAGCATTTAGAAACTCCATAATAAAGCCTCCATGAGTTATGACTAGAATTTTATTTGAAACTAATGATGTAGAAGATGGCAATAATTTGCCTGATGGAATTTAACCACCTGAAATCTTTTTAATTTATAAGAAGTCTGAACTCTTTTTCTCTTCCTCTTGGTTAATCATTGATTTAGAGAGTTTACTCTTACTTTTTATTGTAATATCTGTGGATTTTTATTCCTCAGCTGCAGTTGAATTACAGTGCTTCGACAGTATTTCACTGATAAAAGACTAAGCCCTTCTCATCACATCACTCCAACTCTCTCCTTTTACTGGCTTGTATTCTCTCAGATTTTTCTTAGCTTTCTAATAAAGTTTTTTAGGAAAACCCAAAATTATTTTAATTAATCTTTACCTATGCTTCCTTCTTAAAAGTTACTAAAGGCTGGCCTTCCAAGATTCCTCCGCCTTTTTCTCTTAATCTGGCATCTGTTTCGAATTCTAATAGATATTTATTAATATACATCTGTTTTATATTACAAGTATCAAAATGAAATTGACTAATATAGCTTGCAGTTTATACTGTTCGATTTAAATCACTGCAGTAGATATGATTAAATTATTCAGAGCTTAATCTCTAGGCAACTAGCTTAGCCTACTCAATGCCATTGTCTGTAAGCTCTCCTCCTTGCTAACCTTATATTATTTTTTGAATATTTGCGAAAGTCTCGCCATGTCTCACAAGCCACACTTCCATAATATATAATTCAGATATCTAATTTCAAATCAATTTTTTACATTTAAATTCCTATTTCAATTTGACTTCAGGGGTTTTGGGGTTTTGGGGTTTTGGGG